TTTAAAGCTTAATAAGCATGAAATGAATCGAACATAAATCAAACATGAACACTCATTAATTTAAATGAACCAAGCTTGAACACAAACAAAAAAGTTGAAATCAAACTCGAATTGAATTTGAGCAAGCTTATAGCAAACGAACTCAAACATACTCGACTCAGCTCGGTTCGTTTGCATACTCGACCCATAAGTGCACAAAAATGCAAACTATATAAATATTAAAAATAAAAATAAACTATATAAAACTGTAGATGAAAGCAAAAAACAAATGGCCTGGATCTTTACTTATAAAATTTCACAAAACTTATAATATTAGAAACGGGTGTGTTAATTAATTTTCAGAAAAAATAGAACAAAATGTCTCTTAACTATTTGTACGGGCCTATTTTACTCTCAGCTATTAAATGATCCAATTTAGTCACACAACTTTTCAAATATGATTCAAATTAGTCACTATGTTAGATTATCTAAGATCAAATTTGAAAAATTAAGGGTTTATTTTAATTTAGATTTTGAGTACTAATAAACTAAATAGAATAAATTTTATAGATTGGGACATAAATAATTCAAAGACCATTTTAATCTTTCGTTATATAATTTTAAATGAATTCTTATTATGTTCTACACGAGATGCATGTATAAAATAACATATTTGTGTTAGTTATTTCATATATTTTACAAACATTATTATTGATACTAAAGAAGAATTAAAGTAGTAGAGGACAAATGAAATGATGAATCAGTTGTGACTTTCAGTCATTGTATTATTCATCTTTGCATCATATTGTTTATTGTACATCTCTATTTATAGTGTTACAAGTGCATACATGTGTTGCTGATATTTGTTCCTTGTATGTGGCTGAGATTTGTTTCTTGTTTATACACGTGGACTGTCGTGATGTTATGCACGTGGTTTGTTATATGTCGGCTGAGATCATTCGTTCCTTTTTACCCCCTTTCAAGATGATGGTTTTCATAAACCTTCAGCTTGTCTCTGAAGATGAAATCTTGGAGTGGAGAGATACTTCGTGAAAATGTCGGCTATCTGATCCTGAGTGCTGATTGGTTGAACTCGAATGATATTCGAGTGAATCTGGTGTCTTATGAAGTGATGATCGATCTCAATGTGTTTCGTTCTTGCGTGAAACACTGGTTATTAGCTAGGGCTATGGTGGAAGTATTATCGCAATGAAGATCAGTTGGATGCAAAATAGGTATTTTGAAATCTTGTAGTAGTTGTCATAGCCAAATGATGTCGGTGATGGCCTCAGCCAAAGCTATGTATTCTTCCCCCGTGGATGATCTTGTTACGGTATGTTGTTTCTTGACACTCCATGAGATCGGTGTGGTACCGAGAAATGAACAATATACATAAGTATATCTCCTTGTCTCTGTCTCACCTGCCCAGTCTGCATCTGAGTATGCAGTTAGTGTGAGTGGTCCTAGTGAGATTGGTATGCCATAGTCTTCTGTGCCTTTGATATACCGAGTAGCCTCTTGAGCAGATATGCATGATATGGTCGTGGGTTGTGCATGTGTTGACAAAAGAGATTTACATGAAATGCTATGTTTAGTATTGTTATGGTTAGGTATTGAAGAGATCCTGTTATTTGTCTGTATATGTGTGGGTCTGTGAGAATGGGATCATTGGTTATATGTTGTGGTGGTTTTGTGCATGATGGATTAAAAAGAGTTTTACATGTATGAAGTCCCGTACTGTGAAGTAGTGATTTTGCGTATTGAGTCTAGGATAGAAAAAGTGAGTTTTGGTGTGTGGTTATTTTGATGCCAATAAAGTTATTTGCTGTGCCTAAATGTTTCATAGAAAATGTGTTATGCAAGTTCAATATGATGCTAGAGATGAGTGATGAGTTGTTACCTGTGAGTAAAATGTCATCGACGTGTATTAATATGTACACCTAGGAGTCTTCTTGTGAGAGTATAAATAGTGAGGGATCTGCTTTGCTTGGTTGAAATCCTAATTGTTGTAGGAATGTTGAGAAGGTTGTGAACCACTGCCTTGATGTCTGTTTTAATCCATATATTGCCTTGTGAAGATGACATGCATGCTCTGGATGTTCTTTGTCTTCATAACCTTGGTGTTGTCTCATATATATTGTGTGTAATATCGAAAATCTGCTCCAGGATCGTCTAGGACGATCTGGGATCGTCCTGGGACAATCAGTTGATAACCCGAAATGACCCGGAATGCACAAAAACCCATGCCCGCTTCCTGGCTGCCCCGCCTGCCCGGATGAGTCACGTCGCGGTGCGTCCCGAGGCCAGGTCGCATCGCATCCCGAGCCCGAGCCATGTCGCGTCCGCTGTAGTTCTGGCTCTTGCGTCCGGCCGGCGTTAGTCGCCGCCTCGTCGGTGTCAGCGGCACTTCCGCGCCGCTTCTTGCATCCGGCATCCACGGCAGTTCCGCGCTGTGTTTTTTCGCATCCGGCATCCGCGGCATCCAAGGCAGTTCCGCGCTGTGTTTCATCCCGAGTCTTGCATCTGGATTGGGTTGGGTTGACCCGAACCCGAAGCGGATCGGGTTCGGGTCCAGAAAATCGACCTGTTTATTAAAACGGGTCAGGTCGACCCTAGCCCAAATAGTACCGGGTCAGTTTCGGGTTCGTCCCGAACCCAACCCGTAACCCGAAATTGACACCCCTAATGGAAATCTCCTTCGTCCACTCACCGCTAATTTTAATTTAATCGTGCAATGCTAATTTGGAAAAATTAATATGTGTAGACGCCGAATGCTATCTGTAGACCAACTAGAATGTGTCACATCACTCTGTGTTAGGTTTTGTGACTCGATATTGCTCGATACCGCACGGTACCGCTGATGTGGCACGTTCTGGTTAATCTCCGGATGACGTTATGCGTTCGATCTCCGCACAGAATAATGTCGCGCTAATTTGGCCTGTTATGAACTTAATTTTAGGTTTACATGAGATTAAATTTTGTTGTTTCATTTTATAACTTAAAAGTTGTAGTTCATTCCTCAATATAAAAAAATTTATTTGATGATAATATATGGTGTTAAATATGATATTAGTGAGTGAAATTTTAGCTAAGTCATGAGAACATGATCAAAATGATCTATTGATTCTTTAGAAAAAATCAAAATAATCATCATCAACTATATTACATAATCATTTTCATCCCTTAAGTCTTTAAAAAGAAATCAAAATAATCTTATAATAGGACTATCTTGATTCTTTGTTAAGGAGTTGAGGGATTAAAATAATTTTGTAATACTATTGTGGATCATTTTAAATTTTCATAAAGAATCAAGATATCATTTTGATCATCTTCTAGCTAAATCATGTTGCATGCTACCAAATCAACTCAAAATTGGAGAGTGCAAAAAGATAAAGAGTCAAGATAAACACTAGATGAAAATGTTCTTAAAAATCCACAAAGATATTTTATAATTAAATTTAGAACCAATTGAATTCTAATTTTATAATACACCATCATTCTTTATATAAATATATAAGATCTTCGCTTTGAAATCATAGAGAGATAGGAGATCTAAAGAATTTCATAGTGCTACTTGACCATCCATGCTAATGATCACCATCACCAATTATCACTTGCCCAACCTTCATCACTCAACCAACATTGTATGATCATTATTATCTAATCACTTTTATCTGACTAATTAACGTCACCTAATCATTATTATTTGATCACCATTGCCTAATCGATATCTTGTTACTGTCATCCCTCAATTATCAATAGCTGATCATCATCACCCTCCATTTTACATCTCCAACAACCTCTTTGACAGCACATAAAAGACCAAACTAATGTTCCTTACTTCATAATCTCAAAGGAAGAGTAGAATTCTATAGTTTACTTATATGCATGAATATTTCCAACAAAGTTTGTGCCTCATGATTTTTATTTAATATGACACCTAGATTTCTAAAAAAGACAGCATAAATAAGTCGAGGAATTTTGCCCAACTTTCTCAAATTCTTAGGAAGAGGTCACTAGAGGTATCTATTCTTTGAACTTTGTTGAAGGAATAATTATTAGAAAAAGTTGTACTCTAATATTTCATTAGAATACTTGTAAAAAATCTAATTTCCTATATATATATATCAAAATACTTTAAAATAAAAAATAAAAAATATATAAAATTCAAAATACTTTTTTCTAATGAAAAAGTAATGAGTGGTGTTTTGTGCAATTAAAAAATATTTCAAATATTTACTTGTTGCTCTATTTACTATATTTGGAAAGAGCAAAATAACAAAAGGTTTGGTAACTCTGCGAGCTGCTACATCTCTACATCCAGGTGTATAAAAAATGTTATTTTTGAGAGAGTTCTCAAGTGGAAATATCACTCTGCTATCATGGATATGTTTTGATCGTGGTTTATTTCTCATTTGCGGATGTTGCTGTGCCTTATGGTTTACATTATGCTCGTTTCTCAATTTGGGGCTCTCAGTAAATATGTCTGCTGCTGCCTTCGTATTAGCCTTGGACAATGATGATGTGGAGCCCCCCTTGGATGGTCTTCGGGCAACCAGAGGATTATGTTCTTCATGAAATACTGTGATGATGACTTTCTTCTTGAGTCCAGGCTATTTTTTTGTTTTGGGAGCTCTCTTCTTTTGGTTTCTGATTTAGTTTTTTGGCTCCCGATTGTGTGAGCTTCCCCTTTTTTGGGGCTGGTTTTTGAGTTTTTACTTGTAATCTTTTTTTGCTTTTTTTCATATAGAGGCCAAGCCCAAATTTTTCAAAAAAAAAAAAAAAATTCGAATATAAATATATTTGAGAAGCTTAGCATTATTCAGAAAATAATAATGAATGGCTTTAAATGCAATGAAATAATTATATTCTCATAAGTCGCACATTGGGCCACGTGTCTCGCGGTTGGTCTGCAAATTCTCGCTGTAGCATCTTATTATCTCCAAAAATATCATTATTCTCTTATATTTGCCTTATTTTTCTAATAAGCTGCCTCTAACCATCTATTTATATAAAAGCTGTCTTGATTTGGTTGAGGAGGAGGGTGAGAGTGCTTTGGTTAATGGAAGGAGAAGAGAAGAAGATGGAGAGATTAGAGAAGAAAGAGGAGAACATGGAAGATGTGGGACTCAAAGAGCTATCTAAGAAGCTTAAAGAGTTTGCAATGGAGAGAGATTGGGAGCAATATCACAGTCCAAGAAATCTTCTTCTTGCTATGGTATGTTTCTTTCTCTCTATTATGACTTCGTCTTCATTTCGGACGGCTTTCTTACTGCTTTCTAAAATAACTTTTTAGTACAAAAATTTTTTGAACTAAAAATCTTTGTATTAGAAAGCAACTTTAGAAAGCAGCAAAAAAACCATCCCAAACGAAGCATTCGTTTGAGACAATTTTCTTACTGCTTTCTAAAATAGTTTTTCTGCATTAATTTTTTTTGCTAGAAAGCTACTTTAGAAAGTAGTAAGAAAGCTATTTCAAACAAAATCTATATGTGCATATATGTACTAATTCTCTCTCTTATTAAGAAAAGTGGAGGTATTATATATGACATATATTAAAAAAAAGTAGAGTTAGATTGTATTAGAAATGATTTTTTTGTTATTAGATTTAAATGAGAATTTAACTCTTAATAGAACATAATGAAAAAGATGATTCATATTTCATATAGCCAACCACACTGGGTGGCATAAATATTTGATGTTGCTATTATTGTTATTCTCTCTCTTATTATTTAAATATATTGTTTTAAATTTTAATTATAAAGGGAAAACTTTCATCAGATCAATTGACTTAGGCTTCGTTGGGACAGTTTTAAACCATTGTTTTATCTCTATTTTTTTTTTTTTAAATTGTACTAAAAAGCATCTTTACAAAGCATTAAAAAAGCTGTCCCAAATGAAGCCTTATTTTGATGATTTTGGCTTCATTTGAGACGATTATTTTATTGCTGCTTAAAGTAAATTTTTAGTACAAAAATTAAAATTTTCTTATTAGAAAGTTACTTTAAGAAGCAATAAAAAAACCATCACAAACAAAGCCTTTATCTCATGGCATGATCGAATCAAGATCCAAAGCTTAGCCACTCTATAAAAAATATCCTAAATTTTACTTTAATCTCTCTCTCTCTCTCTCTCTCTCTCTCTCTCTCTCTCTATATATATAATCATTCTCTAAATTTTTACTCTCCCAACATTTTTTTTTCTATAAGACTCATTCAAACCCTCATATACATTTTTCATATTGTGGTGTGAAGTCTCTTATGTATCCTTCATATTGTGAGCTCTTCATGAGCCATTTTGGAGATTCTTTTGATTCTCCATATATAAAAAGAGAAAATTAAATTACATCAATGCCATTACCCATCAAACTAATTAACATCACTTTATCAAAATTGTTAAATTGTTCATAAATATTTCTACTTACAAAAAAAAGGTAGATTTTAGAATGTTGTTTTTAATCTACTTTCTAAATAGCTTCCCCAAAGATTTCTTCACCTATTTTATAAAAAAAAATGGATAACCTAAATTTAGGGGCCCTTAGTCTTTGTTTGGAATAGCTTTCTTATTATTTTGATTTTTTGACCTCAATCAAAATTCTTATTTGGACAATTAAAAAATTTGGTGCTAAAAAGCTGTTTTTTACAACAACTTAAAAAATTACTTTCTTTATAGTAACTTTACAAAGCATTAAGAAAGTTGTCTAAAATAAAGCCTTAGGCTACAATCCTTGTATATGAAAAAAAAAGTGATTTTTATTACTAATTATATTAGAAAATTTAAAATGAAAATGATTTAAGAACAAAGATTATTAAATTTAATTAGTGCTTAATTTGATATTAATTATTGAAAATATTGATTAGCCCAACTTTATGATGCAAATAATAATATTTTTTTTTGTGTTTCTTTCAATTAAAAAAAATTTTTATCCTTAGTTTAAAAAAGTTTGGAATACACTTTTTTTTTAATTCCTTTTGTTAATAAATTTTACATTCTAAAATGTTCATTTTCCTATAGTTCTTATACTTCGTTTAGGACATTTTTCTTACTACTTTATAAAATTGTTATAAATAAAGTAATTTTTAAAGCTATGTAGAAAGCTGCTTTTAAGTAAAAAACTATTTAAAAACCACGAAAAAAAAGACAAAAAAAATTTATAATTGTCATATAAAAAACAAAGTAATAAGAAGTTGTCCCAAACTAAACTTTAAAGTATGAGAATATGAAAGAATAATTAATATATTAAAATTTTATTTTAATTTTTCATTATTTGTTCATTTTATTAATTTTTTTATTATTTGCTTTATCTTTGCATGGAGTACTATAAATTCTTTAAGAATATGTGCAAATCCTCATCCTCTTTATAATAATAATAATAATAATAATAATAATAATAATAATAATAATAATAATAATAATAATAATAATAATAATAATAATAATAATAATAATAATAATAATAATAATAATAATAATAATAATAATAATAATAATAATAATAATAATAATAATAATAATAATAATAATAATAATAATAATAATAATAATAATAATAATAATAATAATAATAATAATAATAATAATAATAATAATAATAATAATAATAATAATAATAATAATAATAATAATAATAATAATAATAATAATAATAATAATAATAATAATAATAATAATAATAATAATAATAATAATAATAATAATAATAATAATAATAATAATAATAATAATAATAATAATAATAATAATAATAATAATAATAATAATAATAATAATAATAATAATAATAATAATAATAATAATAATAATAATAATAATAATAATAATAATAATAATAATAATAATAATAATAATAATAATAATAATAATAATAATAATAATAATAATAATAATAATAATAATAATAATAATAATAATAATAATAATAATAATAATAATAATAATAATAATAATAATAATAATAATAATAATAATAATAATAATAATAATAATAATAATAATAATAATAATAATAATAATAATAATAATAATAATAATAATAATAATAATAATAATAATAATAATAATAATAATAATAATAATAATAATAATAATAATAATAATAATAATAATAATAATAATAATAATAATAATAATAATAATAATAATAATAATAATAATAATAATAATAATAATAATAATAATAATAATAATAATAATAATAATAATAATAATAATAATAATAATAATAATAATAATAATAATAATAATAATAATAATAATAATAATAATAATAATAATAATAATAATAATAATAATAATAATAATAATAATAATAATAATAATAATAATAATAATAATAATAATAATAATAATAATAATAATAATAATAATAATAATAATAATAATAATAATAATAATAATAATAATAATAATAATAATAATAATAATAATAATAATAATAATAATAATAATAATAATAATAATAATAATAATAATAATAATAATAATAATAATAATAATAATAATAATAATAATAATAATAATAATAATAATAATAATAATAATAATAATAATAATAATAATAATAATAATAATAATAATAATAATAATAATAATAATAATAATAATAATAATAATAATAATAATAATAATAATAATAATAATAATAATAATAATAATAATAATAATAATAATAATAATAATAATAATAATAATAATAATAATAATAATAATAATAATAATAATAATAATAATAATAATAATAATAATAATAATAATAATAATAATAATAATAATAATAATAATAATAATAATAATAATAATAATAATAATAATAATAATAATAATAATAATAATAATAATAATAATAATAATAATAATAATAATAATAATAATAATAATAATAATAATAATAATAATAATAATAATAATAATAATAATAATAATAATAATAATAATAATAATAATAATAATAATAATAATAATAATAATAATAATAATAATAATAATAATAATAATAATAATAATAATAATAATAATAATAATAATAATAATAATAATAATAATAATAATAATAATAATAATAATAATAATAATAATAATAATAATAATAATAATAATAATAATAATAATAATAATAATAATAATAATAATAATAATAATAATAATAATAATAATAATAATAATAATAATAATAATAATAATAATAATAATAATAATAATAATAATAATAATAATAATAATAATAAAATTCTTATTGTAAATGTTAGCATGTCATATTTATATGATAATAAATAATTATAGTTTCTCTCTGTGTGTGTGTATATATATAATCATGAAATTTATGTAAGTTATCTAGTCAAGTTGTTAATTACTCTAATCAGAGTTTTTTTTTTTTTTTACTTTTCTCATCATTAAGAAGGTTGAAGGTGACTATCCCTACACAATGTAAGTGGTTGATGATTTGGTATGCAATTAATATGCTAGATTATTGTCTTTCTACTAGCAATACATATAATCATGAAATTTATATCACACTAGTGCTGATAATCATGAACTTATATTATGTTATGGTTTCATATTATCTATGACTAATAGACTTGGGATATTTTATTTGTGTTCTTAATGGTGATTTTTAGTGTTTTAGGCTTTGTTTTGGGACGGCTGGATATCTTATTTGTGTTCTTAATGGTGATTTTTGGTGTTTTAGGGTTTTTTTGGGACGGCTTTCTTACTGCAAGAAAGTCGTCACAAATGAAACCTTAGTTAGGATGAGAATACTGACTTGTTCATGTGAATATGTATGCTTTCAGTTTTTTTTTTAACACAAAGAGTGATATTTTCCAAAAAAATAACCTGCGATACAGTCAACTGGAACTTGAGCGAAGATTTTGATTTAACTATGTTGACTGAACGGGGCATATTTGAGAAGAAATTGTATATATTATTATTGAGTGTTAGAATATTCACGATGATAAAGAAAATTTATTATCAAATGATATTGTACAGTTGGCCGATAGAGAGCTAGAAGACAGACAGTTGACGGCCATGGCTGACAAACATTAGATGTCGTGTTTGGCAAATATCCGCACATAATAATTTCTCCTATTTCAGATTCTCATAATTTTTTTTTCCTTAAATTTTAACAGGTTGGTGAAGTTGGTGAGCTATCAGAAATATTTATGTGGAGAGGAGAAGTAGCCAAGGGATTACCAAACTGGAAGGATTCAGACAAGGAGCACTTGGGAGAGGAGCTATCAGATGTACTGTTGTATCTCATAAGATTGGCTGATATATGTGGAATTGATCTTGGTGATGCAGCAATCAAAAAGATTGTCAAAAATGCAATCAAGTATCCTTCAAAGACTTTCTGAAATTTGGATCATATCATGCTCAGTCTGCTACATCTTTTGAAGATCCTTTTAGTATTTATAATTTTGAATTGTTTGAGGACTTTGAGAAAGAAGTAAGCTGTTTTTTGTTTGATAAAGTTGTACTTAGTTGAAAGTTCAAGTAAATGCATTGGGATTTTAAAGTGAATGTGGTTTGTTTATTCTTACTTTTCACAATAAAATTTCAAATTAGTTTAGTCCCAGAGTATCAAATTTTTCCAATTTAGACTTCATTTGGGATGTCTTTCCTATTACTTCTTAAAGCAGTTTCCTGATACAAAAAATTTAATTTTTTTACTAGGAAGCTGCTTTAAGAAGCCGAAAAAAACCGTCCCAAACAAAGCCTTGGTCTCTTGATTATATCAAATTGATCCAAAATAGTTTCTCATGTTGTAATTCTGATATAAAGTTGATCCCAATTTAGTTCCTCGACTTTACAAATTTGATCTCAATTTAATATCAAAGGGACCATTTTGGATCAATTTTGTATTTTCAAGGGATTAAATTGGAGCAATATTATACTCTAGGAGTAAAATAATCATAAACGAATAGTTAGGGGACTATTTTGAAATTTGCAAATGAAATGATTTAAGAAACTAAAGATTTGCTTATATCTACAAAAAATATATAACTCATCTTATACCTATCTTGTTGTAATAAAAATCTAAATAAATTTCTATCCTTTATTAAATTTTATTAAATTGATATGGAATTTAATTATATATAATTAATCTTAAATTAGTTTTTTTATATAAAAAAATATAGATTAATTTTAGATAATTATGACATTTACATGGCAATCCTAAAATTGGAGCAAAAAAATGAAACGAAAAACTCTCAAGTGAAGAAAGTTGTCAAATTCAGGCTTCGTTTGGGACAGCTTTCTCATTAAAACAGTTTTTTAGTACAAAACTTTCTAATTCAAAAATTTTTTAAACTAAAACACTGTTTTAGAAAGCATTAAAAAATCTGTCCCAAACGAAACCTTAGTCTTAAGATCTCAAGCTATGAAACCAAAGACACCAAGCTCCTCCAGCTACGAAACCAATCACCTATACAAAGACACCAAGCTCCTCCAGCTATGAAACCACAGAGAAACAAAAGCTAAACATTCAATTGCTGAAGCAGTCCTGATAATACCCACAGCCATCTGAACAAGTTGCATATACTGAATAGAGAAAATTCAAAACCATAATAAATTGATTTGAAAACCAAGACACAAATCACAAACATCACAGAAAATCAAAGCATAGTAAGCATCAGTAAGCAAAAAGATATATAACATAAGCTGTATTTCATTGGTACAGACATCGAGCAAATACTCAGCAGAAAATCATCAAGGAGATTTCAGCAAAATTACTTACAGCTACAGATTAATTTATATGAATGCCGCCATTATAAGGCAAAGGTAAAGTAGCAAGGAGGACCATCATAACCATCAACCCAACAACAATAAGCACAACACATCATAGTTATATTAACATGAAAATCTATCCCGTAGGGGCGGAATCAGTCTTAGTTCTCACTGGAGCAAGTGGCAAATATATAAGAAAATAAAAATATATATAAGGGTACAAAAATAATTTATTTTGCACATAATCGCTTTTCGCAGACTTGTTTGTTATTGTTATAGAAGTTCATAGTTGGATGAAACTAGCGATAGGCCAATCAAAAGGTCCTAGATTTGAAACATGCATATGCGATGTGTTTGTAAGTTCGCCTTAATTGGCTCAAAATTTAAAAAAAATAAAAAATCTTGCTCCTGTATTTAAGTCCTTTCTTGCTCGACTCTCTTAGTAAGGTTTCTCCTTTTGATTAAGTCTTTTCCTTAGTCATATCCTTTTGATTAAGTTATTTCATTATTCGATTTTATCTTTTAACATACACATTTGGTTTAATTAAATGCTATGAATAAACTATTTCCATTACTTCACTTGATAGGGTTTATTTATTAATATGAGTCTTCTCGCTAAGCTGATATTCTCTACTTAGACACATTTTCTCTTAATATGAATACTTGAAACACTTTTTAGATATCTTGAACCCTTTATCATTAAATATTTTAAACTCTATTAAAATACTTAAATCTTTGAGTAGTTAGATGGTTGATAGTTTTAACAATATTTCTCTCGCATTGTTATATTTGCATTTACATGTTGTTCAGTCAAAACAAAATTGGCTGCTTGATAGCTCTGTGAAACTCCTAAATTTTCTTATAATAATTTTTACATAGAACGGTCAATATTTAATTTAGGAGTAATCTTAAGTCCAAATCACAAACCGTCTTCGTTAAAATATTTAGAGTGTTGTGTCTTAGCTTCCCCAATTTATTTATAATTTTTAGACGCTGTTGAAATTTCTTAAGAAACAAGCACCTGTCGGTACAAGTGGGGTTTTGAGGACCCTTATGTGTTTGTTATGCAAACTAATTTCATTAAAAATTTTTAAATAAAATGAGCTAATTAATGAATATTTTTTTATAATTTTTTGAATCACTAAAAAAATTTCTTTAAATGTTCTAGTGAAAATGAATTATAAAACACTACCTACCTTAAATCTCTAAAAGCATTTCGTTTCCAATTAACAGACATGGCTAATAAAGGAGAAAAATAAAGAATTAGAGGATAGAAAAAGAGGAAAATCGGGTTTTGGGCTATTTCGGGTTGTTTTCGTATGTCGACTCAATTGGAAAACTTATTCGTCTCAAAGTAAGACATATTGTGCTCATCTCAATTTTAAAAAAAATGCTCAAGTTTTGACAAATTTTTCGATTAAAATTTTGTATCAATTACGAAAAACGGGGATAATTTTACACAGATAAAGCTTTCTCCGCGTAACTTTTATGTTATAGATATTATGATTATGCACATTTTGAATATTTTATAGAAATTTTACAATAGGGGTTTTGAATTTATGGGGTTTTTATTGAATAAAAAATTATCTGAATGTTAAAAATTAGTTGTGTAGTACAATAAAAATCTTAAAACATTATTTTACATGATCCCTGATAATTTTGCAATTTTTTGAAAATGTGTATTTTTGTCTATTTGGATTTTATGTTGTCGACCGTTATACAACACAGAAATTTTGATAAATACTCAATTATTTTTTAATTGCTATAATGTGATGATATATATGCATATGTGATTAAATTATATCTGTTGGGAGTCATAACTGGGCAGAATCCTCTGAGATTCTTTTTGTGTTAAGAAATTGTTTGGAATTATAAGGGGCTAAAATTCTTTGAGATTCTATCTGAGATAGAGATATGTGATCATATATTTTGGTGCTATAAGCACAAACAAAAATGGAGTTATAAGGGGTTAGAATCCTTCAAGGTCTTGTCTGGGTCCGAGAAATGTGATATGAACTATTATGTGATATGAATTACAATTTATTTACTTGTTCAATATTGTTATTTAAATCAAGTAATAATTATTAGGCATTTATTACATCTATTAGTATAGTGATTTATTTAAACTGCATTTAACTGCTTTTAATTATTCAATAAAATATTTGATAAAATAATATTTTAAAATTTAGATTGGTTTGTGTGGCTTACTAAGCTATTGTAGATCATTATGGTTTTCTTCTCATTTTCAAGATTTGAGGAAGGGAAAGAGATTGTAGACTAGCAATTCAAGATCGGTCATATACATTTTATTATTTTAATTTTTTTACAAACATGACTAGTTAAATTTTCAGTTCTATATATCTTTTATGTAACCATATATTATAGTGTATATATTTATTTTGATGAAATGAAAGAAACCTGGTGGATGAGTTTATTTTTAGTATTTTGACATTTTAATAGCTTTGTAGTCTGTAGTTTATTTCAATGAATATTGACATAAAATTTGAAATAATTTTAAAACTAGATCTTGAGATTTTCTTGTCACAGCTCAACACAATAGGACCTGTCCTGATCGGGTTGGTTGTCACAAGGTTTGCCCTTAAAAACATAGAATGGGCTTGTGTCTATGATAGGCTCACTATCATTATTAGCTAATAGATCATCTAATGATGAGAATCATCCAATTATATTTAGATCCCAACTATGTATTCAAAAGTACAAATAACCTATGATATATTTCATTAATTAATTTTTAAAATTGAATTCATTATTTAGGCTATATGTAAGACTAACACTAAAATATTTTAATTTATGCCTTTTGAAATTTATAGAAAGATAAATATAATTTATTTTAAAATCTCTTTCAACCTTATCAAAATTCATTTTTAATATTAAGTTTTACACACACACACATATAAGGGAAATCGAGGGCCAATTTTCGTGTGAGAGAAAGCCTGCTGGTTCATGTGATTGGGATGATAGAGTCGGGCTTGGGTTCAGTTCAGTTCTCACATGATAAGGGAAACCGAGGGCCAGTTTTGTGTGAAGCACCAAGACCAGTACAACCTAGTCTCGACTATTATAGAATACACCCAAGTGTTTTTCTAGCACTGTAGGTTGTGGCAATCCTAATCTAGATAAAATTCTAAATTCAGTTGAATAGTATTAGCTAGGCATAACCGAGCTTTCATAGGCATTCCTTATATCCTTATCAGTTATAACTCCTAGATCTTTTCAAATTCACTAACTAAATATCATTTATCTTAGAATTTGATTATTATTCTTAGTTTGAGATCACAAGACTTTCTACGGACAATGCAAATTATAGTTGTTAATTAAGTAAATACTTCAGTGCCACAATTTATACTTTTGTCGGATGGAAGTCCCGTCTGCTAGGGTTTCGCCTTTTTAGGGCTTTTGCCCTAGCGCCGCCTCTTCCTTGCCGCCGGTACGCTTCTTGATGGCTAAAAAGTTGCTTGATCCTGGATTCCTTTCGGGTAAGCATCCTAAACCTTTAAGGATGCTCTATCTGGCTCTAGTGATTCGAGTGTTTTTCCGGAATTTCGTATTTCCTCGAATCGGGGAATGCCTTCTCTGTGGTTTTCGGAGGAAGAATTTTTGCATCTAGCTAAGCCTTTTGAGTTTG